CCTAGCTGGATGTCTACACTCTCTTTTTGTTCTTTTTTATTGTGGTGAAATACACATAACACAAAAGTTACCATTAGTGGCATTTAGTATATTCTCAATGTTGTGTAATCTTCACCACTGTCTAGTTCCAGACATTTCATCACTCCAAAAGGAAACTCCATACCCATTAGCAGTCACTCTGCATTCTCCTTTTCGTCCAGCCCCTGGCCACCACCAGTCTCCTTTCTGTCTCTATGGATTTGTCTATTCTGGACATTTCATATCAATCAAATCATACGATACCAGCCTTTTGCGTCTGGCTTCTTTCACTCAGGATGTTTTCAGGGTTCATCCATGTTGTAGTGTGTATCAGAACTTCATTCCTTTTTATGGCTTAATAACCTACTATCGTGTGGCTAGACCACGTTTTGTTTATCCATCTCTCTGTTGACGGACACTTGGGGTGCTTCCACCTTTTGGCGATCATGAATAATTCTGCTGTGAACATTTGAGTACACGATTTTGTTTGAGTCCCTGTTTTCACTTTTTTGGGGAATGCTCTTTTCTTATTTGAACATCTTATGAATTTCCTGGGCTGGAGTTGAGTCTGAAAGGCAACAAGTAAGTGGGGAGAGATCATGATGCACGGGGAGTCAGGAGCCCTGGGGCCCAGCTTGGCCCAGCCACAGACATGCTGACCTTGAGCAAGTCCCTTCTGCTCTTTGGGCTTCAGTTTTCTGCTCTGTGAAAATGAGATGGACTGGGCGTGTGTTTCCATCTCCACCTTCCTCAGAGCCCTAGGTTGGTGGAGCTTCAGGGAAAGAGTGGGGAGGCCAGACAGTTGGCCTGAAGAGCCTTCTTTTCAAAACGTCTTTCCCTCTTCAGCTAGAGCATCTCTCTTTTTGTCTGTTGTTTTTGTCTGCCTCGTAAGACATTTTAAGCAAACGGTTCCTGGATATAAGGAATTTTCTCTATCACTGAAGTAGATGATCCTATGAATCATACAAGGGTTTTGGGGTAGAAATGAGCTTGATCCTGCTGGAAGGAGAGCATCCCACTGGAGGATGCTCAGTCTGGCTCCTCCTGGTCCCCTGAAGAGAGGTGGGGCAATGAAGTGACTCTAGGTCAGTGGGGAGCAGGAAGCTGTTAGCCCCTGTTGGGGAAAGCATGACTCTCCACATGCAGGTTTTCCTTTTCTCCATCTGAGCACATCATGGCTGTTCTTTAAGAAATTTAGAACAGTAGTGGAGAGGGTGGGCTCTGGAACTATTCTGCATGGGCTTGGGTTCTGGTTCTACAGAGACTAGCCATGTGACCTTGGGCAAGCTGCTTAGCTTCTCTGTGCCTCAGTTTCCCCACCTGTAAAATGGGCATGGTTCTTACGTCATAGTTTGTTATTAAGATTAAGTGAGATTGTCTTAAAGTCCTGAAGCAGGACTGGCCTTAGACATCACTCCACCAGTGTTAGCCTTTGTGATGGTTATGATGACCCAGGTGATGAAGTCCCTCTTCCCCTCAGATCATTTCCCTTCCTAGCCCAGCTGACTCTCCTTACTCTGAATTTCGTCAGTAGTTCTTACTTTGCTCTATACTATTTGGAATCTGTTATTCTGTGTGGTTCTTTGGCATGTGCACATCCATCTCCCCAACCAGTTCCAAAGCATTGGGAAGGCAGAGTCCGACCCATGGTCTACCCATCTGATGACGAGGTGGGCCAAGACCTAGATAAGAGAAGTTGGCTGGGCAGACTGGGCACCATGGGTCTGGGAGCAGACAGGTGACCAGACATGCCCAGTCCGGCTGGAGCCAGGCAGCAACATGGTGACATTCCCTGGTGGTCGAGTCCAGCTCCAGGGCCCAGCCAACTGGTAGTAGCCTGGGTCTGGGGATTCAGTTTCCTTTGCTCAGAAGGGCTGCTCTTGAGTGTGATAGGTGCTCCACCAAGGGGGCTCTGTGTGGGAGGTGTCCTTGTTACCTTGGGGGTGGAGGAGGGAGTGGCCAGTGCTCAAAGGTGGTTCATAAATCAGTGTGATTCCCTAGGGCCTCTGCTTGCTTGCATAGCAGCTCATTAGACCTGAGATGACCCGCTGGGTCAGCTACAGAGTTGACAGGACAGTTGACCCTGTAATAGTGCTTACACTGCACTATTACATTGACTTGTCTCCATCCCCTACTCGACTGTGAACTCTTTGAGGGGAGGCTTCCTAGTGGTCTTGTTCACTGACTGGCACATAGCAGGTGCTCCATAAATGTTTGTGGAGTCAATATGGAATGCAATAAGTGGTCCAGGAAGTTTTTCTCTTTGAAGGACAGTTAGCACTAGGGGGGCCTGCCAAGTTAGGGTGAGTGTTGGCTGATGATGTTCATGAAGGTTTTCTTTGGGTGTCTGGGGCTTTGGAACACTGTGATAAATGTAGAAGTGGCAGGGATGCACTGTGGCCCCATCCTTCTGGGCCAGAAGGCGTCACTTAGCTCTCAGCATGATCCTGGGCAAGGGCATTCCAGTTGGCACAGACTATTCCTCTGGATACCAAGTCTCCTAAAATTCAGGTAGATGAGCTGATACATATAATAAGTGGCTCAGTTTATCCACTTACTGCCTCCAGCTACTGTCTGCTCTCAGTGTTTTGTGAAACTAAATGGGCATCAATAGATAAATGGAAGGATTGACTCCAACTAATTCTCAACGGTCATTGTGATGTTACCATTCATTGTCTGCAAGCGTGGGCATAGGGATAGAAAGTGCTGGCAGCTTCTGACGTGGACCATTTTGGTACCTGCTACCTCATCAGGGGCCTCTAGACAGGTGGCTCACACCATATAGACCTTACAATGACAATAATGGCCACTATGGTTGTGGGCCATTGCTATATGCCACTCAGTGTGTTAACAATTGTTGCTTCTTACAACTGCCCCATGAGGTGGTGTTGTGTCAGGTTCATAAGAAAGTGAGGTGTAGACAGGTTAAGTAATGTGCTGAAGACCACGCAGCTAATAAGTGGCAGAGCTGGCCCCCAAGCCAGGTCTGTTTGCTTCCAAAGCCTGTACTCTTAACTGTGATGCAATACCACCTTCCTCCAGTGACTTAGAGCTAATTAAATCATTGGTAAGGGCTTATCTAGGAACTGCTGCATCTTGCTGCTTTTAAGCTCTTGCTTCAACTATCTTCAGTAGTAAACATATACAAACACACACACACTCAGAACACACAAACACACAGACACACATACCCAGTTATAAATGCACATTCATTTCTACAGTGCCCGCTCTCCTGCCTTCTTGCCCTCCCATCCATCCATCCATCTAACAAACATTTATCAGGTGCTTCCTGGGTGCCCCAGGACACAGATGGGGATACATCAGTGATGGCATGTTCCTTGCCCTTGAGGAGCTTATGGTCCAGTGGGGATGATATCCAAGTAAACAAGCAATTAGAACACAGAATGATAAGTCCTATGCACCGGAGGAAGGTGCCGGGTGCCATGGGAGTACATAGGATGGGCAACTAACCTTGTCATGCATAGCTAGAAGGGCTAGCCAAAGGAGGTGAGGCATGAGGGAAAGCATTTTCTAAGGAGACAAAATAGACTATGAAAAGGCTCAGGGATGAGCAAGAACAATGTTCTGTTTGATCAGCTTCTTATTTTACAATTTCTTTAGCTGCCATCAATGATAGAAACCTGCACAATGAGGCAACTTTATTTTTGCCATAGCTTTCTGCTTCCCAGGTTCTTGGTGAAAGGTCCAGGCTTCTGGACAGAAGTCACTTGGGCTCTGGGTTACAGGTCACTGGCTCCCTCGGGTCGTGGCCAGTTTCCATGGTTATGTGAGACCCTGATCTCCCCCTGGGTCTGTGGCCTTCATAGTGTGTGGCACGGGTGGTGGTTTCTACTTTCACCTGCTCTGCTTACCTGGTTTTGGTGATAGTCTCTTCTTTTTCCTCAAGGCCAAGGTTAGCGCCTCTGGTCACCGGTGTCAAGTCCGTCATGTCCAAACCCAGAGGAGGCTATTGCAGAGGAAGGCTGCGAGCCTCTGGGCGGTGGGCTGCTCCATCACAAGTAGCCCTGGAGGAACCCTGGCTGCAGAGAGAGTTGAGACGGAAGCCTCTTCTCTGCATTTTTCTGATAGTCGAGGGCAGCAGCTCCATGCTGTATCATCACCAAGATCAAGGAAAATGTGTGCTAGTCCAACCTTAATTTAACTTACAATCCCTGCCAATTTCATGTTAGCAGATCAGTTTGGAGCTGGAAGTAATGGGCCATATCATGCCTCAGAGCTGGAGCAATGACTTATGTTGATGTCACCCACTGGCTTTTTATGGAAATTATTAATAAATCAGTAATTCTATCTGCAGTGATGTTGTTGTGTTTATAAATATTTAATTTACCTTCAGGTGCCCACATTTTCTCCATCTTTGCCTTAAACTCTGCTGACATTGCTCTTCTTTCTGAAGCACCGCTCAATAGATTAAGTTATCAGTAGTGGGAAAGGTTAACTTCTCTCTCTCTCTCTGGAATATGGCTTTATCTTTTCTTTTCTTTTTAATCTTTGTGTGATTTGGCTCAAGGGGTTGGGAATCAAGCTGAGAGAATGCAACGTCTCTTGTGACAATGAGGAAAGATTAGTCCAGCTTCAGAAGAAGACAGACTAAACTTCCCAATTATGACCTTGCATGAGTGGAGACCTGTTGTTGGCATGTGTTTTTCCCTCCTTCAAATTAATGACATTTAGAATCTGAAATGGTGTCTGATGTTTTCTTCCCACAGAGAAATATTTTTGTCCTTGCCACTGACCCATCTTTTGAAACCTATGCTTTGATTATTATTGTATGACAGGTTGAATGGAAAAGACTTAAAAAAATAAAAATAGAAAGAGAGTCCAAGTCGAGTGTTTTTCCAGCAGAGATGAGGTTCCAGCCTCGCAAAGGAGAACAGCAGCTGGGAAACAACAAAAACTTTCTTACTTCTCAGGATCCAACGTGAGCTAATTGTTGTTATTATCTTTTTATTCTTCTGTTTCAGGAAATTGCCGCTTATTTAATAACATTTGAGAAACACGAAGAATGGCTAACCACATCCCCTAAGACAAGGTAATGTCCCAGATCTTGCAGTTTTTCAAATATGTACAGTGAATGGATTGATTTTCATTGATCACCTGATTTGACCAGTCAATTCATGAGCAAGTTGAAAATGCCGTGTTGTGCTTGATAGCTTGTGACATTGAGGTCTCATTAATTCACCTAAGACCGTGGGAGTGAATGCAATCAGCTGGCTTAAAAACAGCACAGCTGCCGTCATGCAAGTTGGAACTCTTAACCTGATGGCTTAACGCTGGATCCTTCAGCCCGGTGCTTTGATAGTCTTGGCAGGCAGGAATGTCAGGGGGAGTTTATTTTGGGAAAGTGCCCACCTGCCACCAGTGTTCTCTAGAAACTTACTTTTTAAAAGGGAAACTACCTTAACTGTCCACTTTCATCTCAATGTGTTTTACAAACTGAAAGTCAAGTTGTTCTTGATGGTAGTAAGAAGATCTCCTACAACAGAAACAATGGCTAAGTTTGCAGTTTATTATGCAGTAAATGTCCTTGAACCCAGCAGCTGCCACAAACACTGAACTTCTCCCACCACTTGGGAATAGAGGGAATTGATGAAGATTCAGCCGACTTGTGTTCCGCCAATGCGAGTGATATCATTTTGTGAAGAATGGTGAAGTTGGGATTTAGGGTCTATTTTAAAGCAGCCTTTTCTTTCCTCCCCATCTCTCAGTTTTTATTTTTGGTATGTTACCTTATAGAGCTTCGGAAATATGTGGCCACTCTCTTCCAATTGCCACAACTTTTCTATTAGCAGTGACAGGGCCCAGTGTTTATTAGCTTGAGGAGTGTTACCCGGAATGTGGCTTCCAGGATGACTGGGCTGTGTGTTTGAATTTACAAGGTGGAATGCCCAATCTGTTTCCTTGTGGACAGAAGCACCAAATTCTCCAGGTTTGTTAACTGGGACCAGGGAAAGGGGCAGGGATGTGTCCTCTTCCCCCTGGGCCATCAGCTTGACCTGTTCATGCTTTCTGAGCCATGGAGGAAAGAGGATCTTATCCTTTAGAATGTTTACTCATTCTAGAAGGTACTTTAAAATATTACTTCATTAGGCTTAGGTTTTTACTGCTTAGTGTCTTTTAGATGAGGGCAAAAATTTCCATTTTGGAGGAGGTCAGAGGATGCTAAGGAAAGAGAGATTAGTTGCTGAGATTCACACCCCCCAGGTGGGGCTAGAGGTTGGCTCTGATTCATTTACCTTTCAGCCCGAATCCCTCTGCAGGTGTCCTCAACTCCTCAGCCTTCTGGGGCCACAACTTCCTTTTTTATAAAATCAAAGGGCTCATATCAGTCAGCTTTTGCTAGGACAATGCTATGAAGAAACAACCTTCAAACTAAGTGACTTGTAACAACACATTTTTATTTCCTGCACACGTGTCTGTAGGTTGGCTGTGGCCTTGGGTCAGGTTCAGGGCCACTCGACGTGTCTTTTTGTTCTAGGACTTAGGCTGAGGAAGCCCCCACTCTCTGGGACATCTGGTTCTCACGGAGGATGGCAGAGACTTAAAAGCCCAAGGCCATCCATGCAGGCACAATGAAAACCCCACTGGATGTGGCATCATATGTCACTCCCGTTCACAAATCCATTAGCCAAAGCAATTCCCGTGGCCAAGTCCAATAAGAATGGGGCCAGGAAGGACTTTCTTCCGTAGAGTGGGGGCGGTGGGGGGGAGTGGAGAGTGAATGGTGACACAATCTGCTATTTGGTGAGCAGAGCCATATCCCGAACCACGGAAGGCCTGGCACACTCATCTCTCCTTTCTTCTGGGAGTGTCTTCTTCCAGGGCAGTGACTCCCAAACTTGAGTGGTCATCAGAATCAGCTGGAAGCCTTGTTCAAATACAGATGCTGGACCCCCCCACCCTGCCCCGAGATTTTCTGATTCAGTACGTCTGGTGTGGGGCCTGAGCATCTGTTATTTCTAACAAGTTCCCAGGTGACAGGATGCAGCTGGTCTGGGACCTCACTTTGAGAACTGCTGCCCTAGTTTCTTGTGGGGAAGGAATTCTGTCTGATTTCTGCCTCTGCACTACTTCCTGACTTCCAACAGCGGCTCTCATCTCAAGCAGCCTCCAGCCTCTCTATACACCCGTCACTCCTCGGTGAAACACTCCTTGAATCTAAGTGGAAGGAAAGAGCTTCTCTGTAGCCAGAGAGTGAGATTCTCTGGAACACGTCCCAGGCCAGACATCTGATTTCAGATATGCAGGCATGTGCCCTGCTTCCGCCGTCTCCCACTGCAAACAGGAGAACATTTCAAGGCGGGGATTTTGCCCTGTGTTTCAGCCTTTGGGTTTTGGATTTCAATTGAGAAGTGAATGTCACTCATGGTTATGCCCGACTCACTTGACTTTTTGGAGTATAAAGAGCCAAGAGACGTCCCATCCCAAGGCACAACGGGCGTGCATGGCAGAAGAGAAGGAATGTGGGTTTCAGATATTGACAGATTCGGGTCTGAGCCCTAGCTCTGTCCCTCAATAGCTTTGTGACTTTACGAAAGTCATTTTAGCCATTTTAAAACCTCTACTTTTCCTTGTTCATGTATGAAATTGAGTTGATGTTGATCCTGTGCTCACTGGGTCGTTATGAGGATTGGATGAGATAATATTTGTGACCTTGCTGTGCACGCCGTGAGAGTCTGTGCTGATGCATCGGGATGTCCCCACTCCTCTTGTCTTCGAGGGGCAGTCCCTGGGCCTGCTGGAGGCTCCGACTTCAGGCAGCATCTGCCGGAATGTCTCTTTGGAAGGCTTTGGAAGGATGAATTTCTTTCCTAAAGGCAGACGGTGAACACAGAATGCTTCCCGTTAGTATTAAAATATCCACTCCATGTTTACACTTGAAAGCTTCTTGTCCCAGGAGGAGGAAAAGTTGCTGTGGTTGTTCAAGGACCTTCCTAAATTAGTTGTTGAGTTGAGTTTGGATCCCCCCCTCCCTTCTCTAGTATTGAAATTAATTGGTGCAGTTAACTGCTGAGTTCATACAAACCGGCCTCCTGGTATTAAGGAATTAATGACACCAATACTCTGCTGAATGAGAAGGCAATACAGCTTCTGTTTGCCACTGCCGCCACCGCCACTGCTAATTTCATTTTAGAAAATTAATAAAAATGAATTGCACCACTGACATTTATAGAGTTTCCTAATAAAATGATACATTGTTTGTGCGGAGGAATCCCTATTAAATTAATTGTTGTAATCAGTTCACATATAGATGTTGGTATAGGAGCTGCAGAGGGACCCACTCCTTGTCTCCGTGGCTTGCTGATGGCTGGGGGTTATAAATATAGCCCTTGCTCAGATACTGCCCTAATTACAGGGAAGGTCCCAGGAGCCCCGCTCACCTGTTTAATAATGAGCTGTGCTACAAGAAGGCTCCCAGGGTTGGGGGCCTTGGGGGTGGCAGCGGGTGAATGCTGAATGTTCAAACGGCCCATATTGTATTATCAGCAACTGGGACCTTCTGGAAATGGGAGTTTGAAAAATCACCCTTCAGGATGTCTTTATTTGGCACTTGCTGTGTGCTCAGCACTATAATAATACGATTTGGAGACCCCAGGGAACTCCACACTCCCCACCCCACCAGGTGAATTTAGAATCTCCGAATTAAGAGCTTCCTCCCTCTGTCTAGAATGTTCTTCCACCTCATCCTTCCAGCCATGTTTCGGGTGTCCCTTTCTCTGTGAGGTCTTCCCTGAACACACGATTTAAAATCGTGCCCCTCCCATCCAGCCAGACCTCCTTTCCTCTTTCCCTGTTTTATGATTCCTCAGATGGTGATAAATCTTACACACGGTGTATTTCACCTGTTTGTTTCTTTCATTTATCTCGTCATTATCTGACCTCCGCTCTCCCAAAATGAAGTACACGAGGAGAAGGATTTTTGGTCCAGCTTGGGCACGGGGTGTTCCAGTGCCTAAGACTGTGCTGGGGCACTCAGAAAATCTTTGTGAAGTGAATGAGAGTGAGGTAGAAAACGTGAGTCTGAGTGTTGTGAAGGAAGAGACCTGGGTTTACCCTATTTTATTTTTGTCTTGTGTATCTCTCCCCAGGACCAGCTAACTGACCTAGTACTGGGCTCTGGAGCACTCCCGTGGGCCGGGCACTGTGCCTTTAAATCCTTTCAACAGCTCTGCCAGGCAGCGAGATGCAGAGAGGGTACAGGATCAGTCCAAGGGCGCACAGCAAGTGTTCGAACTGGAATTTGAGGCCAGGATTATCCTAGTACAAAGCCCACAGTCTTAGCTTTTATGCTATTCCTCCACTGCACACAGTGGGTGTGGTGATTCCGAGGGGGCCCAATAAATAGCGCCACACTATTCCTTTCCACTTCCCATCTCCATGACTTCTGGACCACCAGGGAGACCCAGGTGCCAGGCAAAGCCTCCTTTTGTTGGCAAGCGTGGCTCAGGTGTGTCAGTAGGTGGGTTCCTGTGCTGCCTTCCTGAATTGGATTCAGCCCCCCAGTTTCAAGCAGTGCGGGAGAACTGCACACTCCCCTGTAGGGCAGAGAGCAGCGCCGAGCAGGGCACAGGCAAGTGGACTGCAAAACTTAGCAATCCGTAATTTATTTCTCCTCCTCTGGGAAATGTGCAACCTTCCCTGGAAGCCAGGGACATGCAAAGCTCAAGATGGAATTGAAAGCACTTTCTTCCCAGGAATCCTATGTATACAGCTTAGAAGGAGGCTGAAAAATGCTATTAATTATCTAATTAATTAATTAGATTTATATAGATAGCACCTTAACACTGAAGCACTAAAGGTCTAGTAATAGAATTTTCCTATAATGAACACTAAATGCTTCTTGGTCAATAAGCAGTAGAACAGCCAAGTAGAGGCAGGGGTCTGGAAGGAAAGGAGAAAAAAGTGAGACCTGAGTTTCCAGAAGACCCACGTGACTCTGCGAGAGACCCCGCCCTCCCTCTCCTGGCTCTCTGGACCCCAGCGGTCCAGTGCCTCTTCTGCCTGGACCTTTCCCACCCCGACACCAAGTCT